TATGTCTAATGGTAGCCATCTCTAAAGTAGGGGGTGGTGGGAGGGAAGAAAAAAAAGAAATTTGTGCGATAATTTTGTTGTATATTTGAAAAGAATAGCAAGTTGTGCATAGTAGATTTGCAATTTCATGTGAAATCATCTTTTTATTATATTATGTTGTGAAAATGCTTGTTTTATTCCATAAATTGAAAATAAAATTAAAAAATAAAGAATATATACTTAGGAGAGGAAACTACAAGATGAACATTTGGGTAAAGATCAATGCAGATGGATACAGGTCTGAAACCTGGCCAAGACACAGGGCATAATTACAACAGGCGGTTTCAATTATCTAAACATTTGCTCATGCTCTCTTGTTGCCAAAAAGAGACCACCTAATAAATTCTTGATTTATCATAATGTAAATGCCATCCTTCAAAAGGTAGAAGAGTAACAAGGGGACATACTATATTAATTCTGACCTTCACTTACATGGAGGAATTGGTTGCTAGTGCTGAAATGGTGAACATATCATCATTAGAATCAGCTCAGGGGCACAGATTTAAGAGCAAGGAACCTGGAGTCAGAAGTATCTGAGTTCAAATCCTTCCTTAGACATTTATTAACTGAGTGACCCTGGGCAAATTACATTATCTCCCTCTTTACTCATCTATAAACTAGGGATAATAATACACCTACCTCACAGTATCATTGTATCAAATGAGATGTATGTAACATATGTACAACATTTTTCAAAGTTTAAAACTGCTATGTTATAATATACTAGATAGCTATAATAATAATAGCACTGTTAGTATAGCTTTAATATATTTTATATATTATATAACATAATATTATTAGTTGGATATAATTGAAAATGACAACAAAATATTATTAGTATTATTAATACCATAATAATAGTATTAGGATAGCTATAATACATAATGATATGTAGTATATATTGACATAGATATCCTAATAGTGTTATATATAATATATGCACATGTATATATTTGATTATATATTACATGCAATGCATATAAGAAAATACATTATAGCTCTCCTAATAGTTCTATTGTTATTGTTGTTGTTGTTACATTAACATGGAGAAGAAAAAGATCATGCTCTCCTAGACATTTTAATAGAAAAGAAGAGGAAAGCTAAGTATAGCTTAGCATTTCGAGAAGGCAGATTTCAGAGAGATCAGCAGCAAAGCTATGTGGGATGTCATGGACTAAAAATTCTACAGGAAGTCATCCCAGGAAGGATGGGGAACTCTTCAGAATTTAATTCTGAAGATGCAAAAGGAAAAAAAATTCTGATGAGAAGTAAAAACAAACAAACAGGAACTATCTGAAGAGACTAATAGGGATGCACAGAGAACTCACAGTCCAACCCAGAATTTCAAAAGCTATGTACCGAAGAGGGAAGAAAAGGAACATAGCAGGGAATGAATATCAGAATATGGTGTGGTCCTCTATATACAGTATCAAGAACTCTAAAGCTCAGAATGATATAAGGCTGGAGAGAAATGTTAAGGACAGCAAAAAGTTCCTGTTTTTGTTTGTTTGTTGTGCTCTGCTTTGTTTTGTTTTGTGGATGCTGAGGTAAAGAAGGGAATCAAAGAAGGGATCAGATTCTGACTTGGTGTGATGTCAGATGATGCTAACTGACAAGAAAGAGAAGGCTGACCTCCTAATTCTTATTTTCATTTTATTTTCTCTGCCTAAAAGAGTGACTTTTACACTGCAAATTAAAACAAAAGAAAACAAAACAAAAATAGCTAACTAGCAGTTGCTATCTAAGATAAGAAAGAATATGGTAAGAGAGTATCTAATTGTCTTTGTCAAATTCACATCACCTGCCACAAATGAGCTCCATCCTTGGGTTCTTGGTATACCTAACTGATGAGCCACTGTCAGTGACAGATGAAAGGTTGTGGAGAATGGGAAGGGCATCACAGAAACAGGGAAGGGAAAACGATGTTCTAATTTTCAAAAAAGAGAAGAGAATAAAGTCTGAAAGCTCTAGTCCTGTGACAAACTTCAATTCCTGGGAAAAGTCTAGAATCGTTAGTTAAAGGATGATTAGTAAGCAATGATTAGAAAGAGTCAACTATTGTTGGCTTCATGAAGGTCAGATCATGTTACACTAACCTTTTTTATTTTTCCTTTTTAACTTTTTTGACAGGAAATGAAACTAGTTCCGAAAGATCAGGGAAATTATGTAGATATAATTTTTTACCTAGGATTAAGTGAAGCATTTGATAAAGTACTTCATATAATCTGATGGTAAAGAAAGGCGCTGATGAGGTGGTCATTCAGTGGATGGATTCTAAATTGGTTGAATGCATAGATTGGAAAAGGAGTCATTGATGGCATACTGTTAGCTTTGAAGAATAACTTCCAAGGAACTGGGCTGGTTTTATTGACGACTTCAATAAAGCACAGATAGTACGATCTCGAATTTTTCAGATGACACAAAATTGAAAGAGAAAATACATTGAATTAAAAAGTCAGAAACCCAAAAGATCTTCACAGACTAGAGCACTGGGCTCAATTTAATAAGGTAAAATTCAATGGGTATGAATGTAATATCTCACACTGGTGTTCAAAAAATAACACAACAAGGAGTGCCAGTGGTGAGACATGATAGCCCTAAAAACGTGATGTTAGGCTGTATGAAGAGAGGCTTAACTTCTAGGTCTAAAAACTACTTATGGAGACAGCTAGGTGGCACAGTGGATAGAGCACTGGTCCTACAGTCAGGAGGACCTGAGTTCAAATCTGGCCTCAAGCTAAACACTTGACACTTACTAGCTGTGTGACCCTAGACAAGTCACTTAACCCCAATTGCTTATAAAAAAAAAAGACTACATATGGAGTGTTCTGGAGGACACAGGTAAGCTGGATGGTATGCAGAGGGAGGGTAAACAAGATGGTAAAAGGTCTTGGATTCATGTCATATAAAAAGGATGCTGAAGGAACTAAGAATGTTTATTCTGGAGAAGAGAAGGGTTTGGGGAAAGCGATAGCTGTTTGTGGAAGAAGTATTAGACTTGTGATTTCTTAAGATTCTTCCAGCTCTGACACTCTGTGAGACAAAGAATTTTATTGCATCTTGAAATATAATCCTGTTGGATATTCCTAAATGAGAAAAGAAAATCTGAAACTACTTTTTAAGGATACTTTCAACTTGACCTATCTATGTACAATTAATTGTTTAAATGCATTTAGATATTATTCTTGGTATTAATTATGTCAATTGAGTTTATAACTGTCTAATCTTTGTGCTGAGAAAATAGGCCATGAAATCTCTGATGAACTAAATCTGTGACTCAGTACACAATTGCTCGATAAAACTGAAAGATGAGTCATGCAGCAGAAATACACCGAAGATTTTGAGCACCAAAATGATTCACATGCTTCAAGTCCAAACAAATTATCTTGATTTCTAAAGAGCAAGACAGGAAGAAATATTTCTTTGGCACATCCCACACCTAAGTCTGTGCGGATATGAGTCTGGAATTTTTTTGGTCTCTGAAGGGAAATGAGATTGTTAGAGATAAAACTGGATTTGTTCATGCATTAGGTTTGGGTCAAAGGCACAATCCAGACACCTTTGCAAATATGTCATACTGTCCTCTTCAACTCAGCCCCAGTGTTCCATCACAATACGTAGTTTACATGTTTGACTCCATCTGGCTATTCACTCCTTTATTCAACACAAACCTCAGCCCTCAAATATATGTGGTCCATACTATAAGTAACTGGGCTTAATGAGATCTTGCTACATCTGCTATTCTATATGTGCACATATTCAGTCTTTCCACTTAGAATCACAGACTCTTAGAATCAAAAGGCAAATTGGACAACATTTAGTCAACATGCTACCTTCCCTTGATAATACGTTTAAATGGTCATCCAGATTTTGTTTGAAGCCCCTTTCTGGTGCTAAGGTAGGTATCATACTTCCCCTCAGTTTTTTATTTTCTCTGGGACAAGTCACTTAACTTTTCTCAACTTCAGTTTCCTCATCTGTAAAATACAGCTAATACCACCTGCCTCATTGGGTTGTGGTGGGGACCAAAAGAAATAATATGTTAAGTTGTTTGCAAACCTTAAAGTATTATCTACGTAGTACTATTATTTTAAACTAAAAATTCCTAGATGCTTAAAGCAATAATCACTTGACCAACATCCTGGTTACCTTCTTCTGAACACATTCCAGCTTTGGAACGTCCCTCCTAAGATGTAGTGCCCAGAACTGAACACAGTACTCTAGGTGTGAGATGAATAGGACAGAGTGCTGTGGAACTATCAAGCCCCTTGTTCTGGACCCTAGACTTCCATTAACGTGAGTTAAGGCAGGGTTAGCTTTTTGGGGATGCCATGTCATAGCTGATACTTTTAAGCTGCTTGAGGACAAGGACCCTGGCTTCTCATTCTTTGGCTGGTCTTTGAAGTCATCTTATGTCCTCAAAAATGCTGTCAAATGCCCAGAATTAATGACTTCTATAATGAAACCTTAGAGTTCTGCTTAGCAGAACTTCTCTTAGTTTGTTATATGCTCTCAGAGAGGAGGAGCAAGGGGGTGTACATATGCTGGCACTGTCAGAGGGATGGAATTAGCAGTTTGACAAGGGCTGGGTCAGACTTGTCCACTGGCATCTTTGTGACTGATGGGATTTTTCACTTCTCATTCAGATGTTAGGGATGAGACAAACACAACCTAAATGCCAAACTGGAACTTCACCCATGGGAAATCTTCAGGTTGAAATTCTGGAAAATACTTCACCAACAAGGAGATAATGAAAAATGGCAAAATATCTGAGTAGCCTAAATCTTGAAGCCACTAACTTTTAAACAGTTTAGAGAGTTATCTCTTTGGCAAAGTTGCTATGATAGTCCATCTTAATACCATAGTATTCTAACTCTTGACAAAAAGGACTTCTTAATTATCTTTATAATACCACCCCATTCACATAGTCCACAAATGAAATGAGTCCATCCATGGCCTACCTGTCTCATTTCTTTGTAGTTGTGATGCTTAAAATCCAGGTCATCTGTAGTTGTCATTTCATTCCTTCTGTGATAATAGTTATTAGGATCTAAGGGAAAAAATACAATTTTTTATGTGTTCAAATAAATCCACCAATTTTTTGAGTACTTATTGTTTGTCTAGCCCTATACTAGCTGCTTTTGTGGTCACAGAAGAAATTAATAGTTTGACAATCCACTGAATTAACTAACCATAACAAAAGAATGCAGTTTAAAAAATTGATATGAGCTATAATTAGCGTGAATGAATGTGATGCGTTCTACAACATTTGACAGAGTGTAAAAACATATCATAACCAATACACAATGTCCTGTGCAATTCCCAGAGTAAGGACCATATGTAGAGTTTTCTAGGAATACTCCTAAAGATATACAGCAAATACCACCAAGGCAGAAATATATTGAGAAAAGTATTTGAAAATCTATACAAATACATGGTATAAGTGTAACAATACTTCACCAGTATATAGATTAGAAATTTTGAACAGCATATCACTTTTCAGTGTAATGAAAAAGAAACACAGAAAGAATCTGGAAAACAAAAGAACACCAGGAATTCTTGATATCTTTATTAAACGACTAAATATGAAAGTCTGCTGGTTCAGGCAATACCAGGAGTCAAGGCAGCAGAAAGAATAAAGTAAACAATTCATCAACAACCAAGAACTGTACTAAAGAGGCTTTTAAAAAATACAGGAAAGAGAGAACCTCTGAAGAAGGAAGATGTGGAAAAGGAAAAGTCCTAGTTATTCATTTGGTTGGAAGAAATTTAACACAAGAAAAACACAAGGTGAATCAAATTCAAAAGAGAATAAATGAATGGTGATGTCCAGAAAAATGAGAAATTCCGAATTTTCTACAAAACTGGGATGCTACTGTTCTAGGTAACATCCATAATTAATGGCTCAAAGACTTCATGGTGACATATTCAGCAGCCTCTCTGATGAAAGCCTGATTCCAATTTCTCTAAACAAACAATATATAGGGATAGAGACTAAACCTGGGATTTCATTGGTAATAGTGAGGTCCTGGGGAGAAAACGCCTCTATTGATGCAGGTTGACATTTTTTTCTGAAGCTTATACTCTTAAAAGTGTTGCCCAGAATACTGAGACATTAAGTGACTTACCCCGGCTTTCGTGTCTACTATGTGTCAGAGACAGATTTGAAGCCAGATATTCCTGGATCCAAGGTCCGCTCTCTATCTACCACACAATGGTGCTTCCCTAACAGGAGTCACTACATGGAGGGAGAGAGAAAGAGAGAGAGAGAGAGAGAGAGAGAGAGAGAGAGAGAGAGACAGAGACAGACAGACAGACAGACAGACAGACAGACAGACTGTATGTATACCGGTGAAAACAGGGACCAATTTTACATGTTTAAGTAATTTATTCAAGGCTTTCATAGCTAGAGTCATTCAAAACAACTCTATAATTTCAAGAAATAAATATATTGGCTGAGGAGCAAAAAGGAAAGAAAAATTCTAAGGACGATTAATCACTTATTCAATTATTACCAAACAAGCCATCTGAAAGTATCCTCACATTTATGCTATCTTTACTGATTGCCACAAAGCCTTATACTCAGCTTCGCACTCATGGCTTAGTCATGCATTGCAAATAGATCCAAGTATGGTGAGAGTTCTAGTGTTTGATATCCACATGGAAAACTCTTTTCTATTTAAAATACACCACCAACATGATGATGTTAAGGGGGGGAAATGATATAAAACAAGACAAGTGATGTAAATTATCTCCATGGTAGGAACCTAACCATGTTCTAACCGGGCTAACAGGGAGAAAGCAACACATATAAGTAGTTTCACTTGCAAATTGCTGGACCAGTGGTTCTTAGGATACAGCAGTAAAGCAGATGGGAATGTGCCTTTTTAAAGTCATTTACACAGACAAAACTGTACCGAATTCTGATGTTAAGCCATTTGAAAATTCTTACATTTAAATTTCAAAGTAGTTTGTTATTTATAAAATGTTTTACACTGATTTTTTTTATTTGATCCTTGTTATAATCCTGGTAGAATAAATATGATATTCATTTTACAAGTTAACAAACACAAACAAATAACTGAGGCTTAGAAAAGACAGGCAATGCACACAATTTTGCATGGCAAGTAAATGGTAAAGATGTGATTCCCAAATAGGTTTAACATTCTGATTTTACAAAATTTTTTTTTCCCTTCTAAGGAGGAAATTAGGGGCCACAAAGCAGTCACCATCACTTCCATTTACTAGCCATCAACATTACAACCTCATATTCATAGCTGAAGCTTTCACTTATGCATAAGATTGCTATGTTCAAACAGAATAGATCATTGGTTATTTCAGAGAGTGAGAATCTTCAAAGCACTACAGAAAGCACACAGTCCCACGCTAAAGAGGTTTCATGTTTTTTTTTTTGTTATTGTTGTTCTTTTTAAAAATTTTAAATCTGGGACTAGGTCTTCTTTTCTGAGGTAACTTTGTAATGCACTGTTTGCAAACACCCAGACCAAGGACGAATGAAGCAATCTTCCCAATGCTGAAAATGGGCATAGATCCAGAGGTATGCTGGAAACTTTTGAATGCCTTGTTCTCCTGTTCATTTCAGAGGGTAGCTGGGGAGGCAAGCTAATGTGGGTCAAACTCTTTGTGAATCATTTCAGCCATGATGACTGCTACAATTATTTCTAATCTTCTGTGTACTTCAAATTATTTATGACATATTCCTTATTCTGCCTCATTGAATCCTTATGACATGAGCCACAATGAATAATTCTGCTTTATAGAAAGGGAGTTAACATAGCACAAACTCTCACAGGTCAGATCAAACTGAAAAGGCTTTAAGTACAGTTCTATAAACCCACTATGTGTCTTCTTTTTTTTTTTTTCAAGGAACAGCCTAAATAGGGGTGGGAGAATTCACCACCAGGAGCTAGGCCACAAGATGATAAATTGTTCTGGCTTCATCCAGGCAAGAAGGCTGTCTATTAAGGCATGGAATGATTGCAATCTGTGTATGTGAAGGAAGTAGCCACTGCAAGAAAATCAAAGAATTTTTGAGGTGCTGAAGCAAACAAGAAAGTGGTGAGAGTAGTAAAACATGCTGTGAGTGAGGATTAGACTTAATGACATCTCAGGTCCCTTCCATATCTGTGATTCTATGAGAAACAAAAAGAAGACACAGAGAGCCTTATAATCATCCTACCAGAGATCTTAGAAGGAACGACCTGAATTCAGTATTTCTGGATAATTTCTGAAGGTTTATGATTATGATTACCATCATCGTTATCATTATTGTTATCACTGGCATTTCTATTCATATTAATTCAACCACTATTTATTAAATGCCTACTAGGCATCGAACACTAGCAAATGTGGATATGGAAATGAAATAAGACAATCTTTACCTTTGGGTAGCTTCTACCCTAATAATAAATTGGCTTTCAAAGCCCTCCATAGCCTGGCCCCTTCTTACCTTTCCAGTCTTCTTATACCTTCAAGTACTCTGCTATCCAGTGACACTGGCCTCCTGGCTGGTCCTTCATCTCCCAACTCCAAGTGTTTTCACTAGCTGACCCCCACATTTGGATTACTCTCTGTCCTCATTTCTACCTCCCGGTTTCCTTGGTTTAAAGTTTTACCTTTTGCAAGAAGCCTTCCCATTCCATCTTAATCTTAGTGCCTTCCCTCTGAGACTACCCCCAATTTATCTTGCATATATCTTGTTTGCACAGTTATTTGCATGTTGTCTCCCCAATTAAATTGAGGTCTTTAAGAATAAGGGCTTTTTACCTTTCTTTGTATCCTCCTGCTTAGCGCAATGCATGGCACATAGTAGGTAGGTGCTTAATAAATTCGACAGTTAAATGAGTAGAAAAGTAAGTACTATTTACTTGTAGTACTTTATATACATTAGATTGCTTTATACTAACACATGTTTTCTGTTATTGATGCTAACCTAGCAACAATTATATCCTGCTGTAATTATAAAGATTGGAACTTACCATGTGGGATGAAAACTCAGATTGTAAATTTGGCTCATTATTTGAGATGTCACTTTGATCCTGGTAAAAAGTGTTTGTGTTGACACATCAGTAGTTCTCCACGAAAAGGAAAATGCCAACAGCTACTTAAAAAGAATACCGCCTGGCCCCTACTCATGTAAAATCATCTCTAGGCAGATGCAGATTTCTGGAAAGGTTGAAGCTGCCAGCCTTGTGGAGGGAATGATAGAATCCCCCAACACATTTCCTCTTTTTCTGCTTCTTCCCTTTGAATAAGAAAGCCTTCAGTTGTAACAACATGAGCCTGGTTGTTAAACCCCTTGAATACTGTGAAGTTGTGATGAATAAATTGGCTACTCCAAAAAGATCTTTGCCATTTTATCCTAGATCAGACTGAATTAAGGGAGATTTATATCTGTATTGCTATGAGAGGTCATCCTATAACTGCTTTCACACAAACACATGACTGAAATTTAATGTTATTTTAACAATGACCCACCTTTCCTCTTATGCTGAATCCCTCTGATAAATGAATTAGCATTCAGGTCTACCTTAAGATATGTTGTGGAGGCCAAGAGAGAGGACCTTAGACACTCCATCTAAAGACAGGAGTGACTCCATCTCTAAGCTAGCCTTCATTTTAATATGAAGGAACAGTCAAATCCACAGCCTAGCATTTAAGTTTTCCCTCCACCTTACTTTTTGTGTATAATCAGCCAGAGGGAAAAACAGATCCACCTCCATTCCGAGGCCCCAAGGTCAATGACAGATTAATAAACTAGCTAGTTCCTGTTGCTTCTCCCTGCAGGCATCAAATTGCCTTGTCCCAAGTGCAGTTGAAATCTAGACTAACTCCCCTCCTCCCTTTTAATATTCTAAATATCTTCACTTTCTCAACTCACCCTCATTGCCTCTCTCCTTTTTCTGGAGGGCTGGAGGGCAGAGCACCAAACTCCTCACAAAGACCTCTGTCTTATAACCTTCCTGGTCACCTCATTTTCCAACTACTACTCTGTGGAACAAGATGTTCCCTCAGGGTACCCTGCCTGGT